GAATGTGGGGGCGGGGAGCTGCCAAAAGATAGTCATTCACAGAATAAAGGGAGAGGAATCCACTCATTCACAGAATAAAGGGAGAGGAAGCCACCCATTCACAGAATAAAGGCGAAAGCCACAGGGAGTAGAAAAACAAAAGGAAGAAGAAGAGGGGGATCCTACTGTGAGGTTTGAGTTCTGAAGCTGCTATAGTGACCAATCAGAGGGGATATTCGAACACAAAGAACTGCTGCCTTTATAAACCTAAGAAAGAGGGACTTGGTGGGTCTCTCTCTCCTTCCCCATGTGGGAGTGTGTGCTTGTTTCCCAATAAATTTCCACCTTTTCCTATTGTTATGCCCAGATTTCAGAATCCCCAAGAGACCACACCAGGGAGCCAGCCGAGTCCGATGCACAAGCAGAGAGTCTTTTATTCAAATCCGAGTTTGGCTCCCCTACCCTCCTTACTGATGCATCAGCAAGTGGCAGAGAGAGAGAGCTAGCCTGGTGGGAAGAGGAGTTTTATAGCAGGGTGGAGTAAGGGGAGGAGAGGGGACTGTGGGCCCTGCCGATTGGCCAGGCGCAAGTCAGTGTCTCATTACACAGGATGTGGTCATATCTATGGCATGCACTTCCCTTGATTGTCATTGGTTAGTTTAAAGAAGTCCTGGGTGTGGCTAGCAGAGGCTTGGGCTTCCGGGAAGAAGCCTTGCCGAGCACATGGCTGCCCAAAAATGGAAGATCTAGGGTAAGATGGAGGGCGTAGTCCTCGCCCTTTCACCTATACCACCTTTTATCTGTGGCTTCCTTCTTTGAATCCACCTGGACAGGAACCCGGGAAATCACCTTTGCATCCTGCCCAAAGGAAAAACCATGCATTCCAGTTTAATTTTCGCATTTCACTGACATTAGAGGTGAAGCCCGGCTGCAGAGTGGGAGATTTGCACATCAGAAGACATGTGTGAGGATCAAAGCTTTCAATAGAGAGAGAGACAGGGAGAGAGAGACAGGGAGAGAGAGACAGAGAGAGATAGGGAGAGAGAGACAGAGAGAGATAGGGAGAGACTAATAGCACTGATATCCAAGGAGCAAGCTCTGAGTCCAAAGATACAGGTAGTTCTGCCAAATTCACAGAGATCCCGGGTTGAAGAGTGGCTCTGTTCCCTGCTCTCTGCCTCTGTCCACACACTCTTTGGCTGGCTAGGAAGAGGTCAGGCAAGGCATGGGTGTTGCACTGGGAGGAGTTGTGGGAAGCATGTGGAGGTGCTGGTCTTGCAGGCCCAGAATTCCTTTCCCCTCTTCCAGAGTCTTTTCTGAGAAGCCATTTCTGACCACCGCTGTCTCGAGGGTTCCACCCTCTTTTCTCCTTCTTACTCTTAGCAGACAGCTCGAGGCTATTCCACCAAAGAAAATCAGGCCCTGGCCTGGCCCAGCCCCTCCTTGTACTTGAGGGCTTGAAGCCTTTATAAAGGAATCAATTGGAAAGTAAACTTGCTAAGAGGACAGCCTGTCAGCCAAGTCTGTTTTTTTTTCTTCTTTCAAAAATCTTTTAGTTTGAGATAATTTTAGAATTAATAAAGATTTGCAAAATAATACAGGGTTCGCTATACCTTTCACCCAGCTGCCGTTAATGTTGACATCTCACACAGCATGAGTACGATGATCTCAATCAGAAAACTAACATTGATATGATCCTAATCAGCCTTGTGTTAATTTTGCCCTTTGTCCACAGGAAGTAGAAAAATGTTAGAAAACAAACATCCACTTTTCTGCCCAGGACCCCACCTTGTATCTGTTGTGCCTCTGCATTTCCTCCAATCTATGACGGCTGCTCAGCCTTTCTCTGCTGCTTAGGACCTGTCAGAACATGTCTTGAACACAGTGTGTCTGCTTCTTCATCTTACCAAATTCTTTCCCCATGGTGGGGAGTGTCCCAATTATGTCCCAATTAATTAATTATCTGTCTAGACTTAATGGGACAAACGCAGGTGACCAGAAGTCAGCAATAACGGCCTATCCCCTGATACTTCAATGTCTAGACAGCTGAGCCGAACCAGAACACATAAACACACAAGACAGAATTAGTATGCAATCACATGAGGTTTATTTACCTATTCCTAGTGGGTCCAAGGCTCCAGCAAAGGCCACCCGGCGATGCACACTGAAAGACGAACGATGAAGACAGAGACAGACAGGTGGCCACCGCTGGTTCAGGCTCACACAGCACAGCAGTCAATTAGGGGCTTGTCTCACGGAGTGACATGGAGTCCTCCTCTCTTCAGGCAGGAGACGTCCACTGAAGAAAATCTGTTGCTTATATAGCCAGTGGTAAACAACTGGTGTCCTATCAGTGTGGGCCAGACCGTGTGCCTGTGCTAGGAGCAGGGTGTTTACGCTGTAGGGGCTTAGGGCGTTCACATTAAGATAGTGGGGCGTTCACCACATTTTGGAAGTTACAGAGTATTGGGGTCTTCACACGGCAAACATTTCGCACATTAATCATTTCACACAATAATTATTTCCATACATTAGAGGGGTTTCCTTATGACCTTAACATTATTATAACAGGGAGGAAGGAAGGAAACACCATCCTGGCCCAACAGACCACATTCAGTGTAGTGGCAGCCTTCTGTGCACTTGGCTGGTTTGCCATAGATGTAGACATCTGGGGTCCCACGCCCTCATGCCCTCTTTGTCCTTTTATCTCCAAGACCAGCACAGCGCCTACCGGTCAATCCTTAAATGCTGGCTGAGTGGGCTCAGCACTTAAGTGAACCTAGAATGTGTGAGCTTGTATGAGGTATTGCATGTGTATGTATGTAAACATTTGTAGGAGTGTGTATGAATATGTGTGTGGGGTGGGTCCTCTATGTATAGCTGTTATGAAAATCTGTTATTTCCTTTTTTTAAAAAAATATATTTTATTGATTTTTTTACAGAGAGGAAGGGAGAGAGAGTTAGAAACATCGATGAGAGAGAAACATCTATCAGCTGCCTCCTGCATACCTCCTACTGGGGTTGTGCCCGCAACCAAGGTACATACCCTTGACCAGAATTGAACCTGGGACCTTTCAGTCTGCAGGCCGACGCTCTATCCACTGAGCCAAACCAGTTACGGCAAATCTGTTATTTCTTTAAACCAAATTAAGACATTTAACTTTTCAACTGAAATTTGTTGAGTGTCAATTTGGTGGCAAGCACTGTACTGATTTGAAACTAAGGGAAGTGTGGAGAAGTAGCTCATGAACACTGATGTCTAACCCTGCCCTGGGTCAGTGCAGTGGGAGGCCAACACTGCTGCCTGAACCAGACGCCAGGCTCTGTGAGTGTGGAAGCCAGCAGGGAGGGCTTGAGAAGTGACATTTTAGTTGAGACCAGAGGGTTGAATGGGCATTCACCAGGCGTGACAGGCACCTAGGTGTGGGTCCCCAGCAAAGGTGAGAGAAAGGGTGCATTTGGAGAGGAATCACCCCTATGTCAGGCTCTATGCCAGACACTGCACCTTTCTTCCACCCTTCCACCCCAGAGAGCAGGCATTACTGCATCGTCCTCATTTAAAGACCAGCTGAAGGTAGCTCAGAGGCTGGTAACATGCTCAAGACCACAAAGCCTGCAGGAGGCCACCTGAAGGTCTAAACTCAAGAAAAGAAAACCTGTGCCTGAATTTGAGGTCTCTGAGGATGGCAGATGAAGCCTCGTGAGGAGTGAAGGAAGGGACATGAGATCTGGAAAGAGACATAACCAAGTTCAATTTCGTTCTCCCCTGGTTTCCTGGCTGCCAGAGGCTCGGGCCATGACTGGCAGTGGCCTCAGATGCTGGGTTCGTAGGCATCTCTTTTCTGATGGACATGTATGACCCTGCGACCTGTGAGCAGGGTGTGACACAGGGCGGGACACAGACTCACCAGCAGGGCAAGATTTTGGGACTGGTGATGGGCTCCTGGGTGAGCTGATAAAATCAGCAATAGCAGCAAATGCCCCCCCCCCCCCCCATCTGCTTCACTAGAGAGAAGACCAGCAAGACTCCAGAGAGCTGAGCCTGAAAAGGAAAACAGAGCCAGTGACAGGGGCAGGACTGTAGTCCTGAACCTGAGAGTGCGGCTAGTGCCCAAGGCAGGTGGGGAGGAAGATCACTGAGGTTTTAGAAGGGGTGTCCCCTTTTCATATTAAGGTAGGAGCAGTGGCCATTGGGTCACGCGACCTTTCTCCCTGGCATTCCAGGGCTTCTGGGCCCTGAGCAGGCTGCCCTGAGCTACCCTGGCAGGTGGCCAAGGCTTCCCCAAGGGCGCTCCTCCCTCAGACCACTGCAGATGATGTGCCCATGCCAAGAGCCCTGTGCTTGTTTAGGAGCCTGCACCTCGGGCCGCATAGGTCCAGCGCTGTTGCCAGCATGCACTTGTCACTCTACAGCTGGCCTAAATGCACTGCTCCCAGGGCCTGGGTGGGACAGGGAGCCCAGGCCTGGTGAGATGAGCAGTGAAGGAGAGAGAAACTGTTAGGGGCTGGTGAGAATGCCACCTCCTAGCGTCAAGATATTGGATCCGCACAAGCCTCACTCCAGGCGCATGGGTAGGAGAGGATAGGGCCTCATTATTGCACTTGGCCATCCTAAAAGGGCATTTCTCAGGATTGACCTGAGGTGGTCCCAGACTACCCAGAGCTGGAGGTGGGAGGGCTGTGAATTCAGTGAGTGACGGAGGCCAGTGTCTGGGCGGAAGTGAGCAGACCTTTGGAAAGGCCCTGGGGGAGCTGCCTAGGCTGGAAGACCCACATGGCCAGGCAGTGTCACTGCTGGTGTGTGCACATGCTGGGGATCTGAGAGCTACACAGAAAGGTGGGGCAGCTGGGGGGCATGCTCCCCGCTGGTGGGGCTTAGGAGAGTGTTTTTGACGCAGGAATGAGGAGGCCCACAGCGGGGGCTACCTGGTGAGGCCTGGGGTTCTCCCTCCAGGTGGCTGGGACATGGCTCAAGGCCATTGTGTCATTTCATTCTTCTCTGGGGAGGGGATTCCTCAGCATCTTGATCAGAAAATGTCTCCTGGGAGGTGTCATGGGCAAGTGGGGACAGGGAGGCAGACAACACAGCAGAGTTCCCAGGCGAGGTGCTGCGGGGCCGTGTCCCAGAGGGAGTATGGACAGGTGTGAGGGCACTCAGCCGCATGGACATAGCCTGATGGGTCCTCTGGAACTAGCAGGGGCAGGGCCTATCTCAGGAGGGGACCTGGTCCATGACCGCCCACTCCTGTGCCCCTCAGGGCTGCAGACCACACCACAGGAAGTCTCCTAGGAAGTGTGCTATGTAGAAGCCCAGTATTGATTTGCCTTATTTGCTGCTTTCTCCGTGCCAGGCACCTTACAGCTATCAACTCATTAACTCTTTAGAGCAGTGGTTCTCAACCTTCCTAATGCCGCGACCCTTTAATACAGTTCCTCATGTTATGGTGACCCCCAACCATAAAATTATTTTCGTTGCTACTTCATAACTGTAATTTTGCTACTGTTATGAATCATAATGTAAATATCTGATATGCAGGATGTATTTTCATTGTTACAAATTGAACATAATTAAAGCATAGTGATTAATCACAAAAACAATACGTAATTTTATATGTGTTTTCCAATGGTCTTAGGTGACCCCTGTGAAAGGGTCGTTTGACCTCCAAAGGGGTCGCGACCCACAGGTTGAGAACCGCTGCTTTAGAGTAACCTGTGGGATAGAAGCTGTGGTTGCCTCCTCCACGCGGCCTCCTGTCCTCCCCAGTGCCCATGCTCACCTGGGGTTGGAAGCCATGGGGGCTGCCACTTGGCCCTCCAGTCTCCCTGAGCAGCCTGGGCACATGCCAGAAGGGCTGGCAAGCATAGATGTCACCCACATATGGCTAATGCCTCAGGGACTAGATGTAAGCTCCCATTCAGCTGAGATTAACTAGTTTCAAATTTTCTGTTTGCTCCTCACAGCCCTAACTGCTCTAACCACAGTGGTTTCTGCTGAGCCAGCATCTGTA